TAGTTTACTTTGGTTAATTAATACTATAGAAGGGAGTGATGATTCAAGAGGGTTGTGCTTGTATTATGCGTTTGCGAATTTATTGTAATTTTCTTTTTCATTCTAGTGGATTCGAATTCTGGAGAAAGTCCCAGGGAGTAAGAAACGAACCTCGTTAATAAATTTTGTCTATCATTTTCTTTGTGCTATATATCTTTGACTCATCCGCACTTATAGTTTGTTCTCAAACCGCGCTGCTCCTGCATCAGGGTATGGTGTACAGTTCGGTTCATGTTCTTATTGGGTAAAGTAATCAGAACCTCTCCCCTCTGGTTCGCTTGTGATTCATTGGCAGTGTAGGTGAGATTTTTGGGAATCCGTTATTCCAAAAACGATATGGCGTGTTTCCGATAGAACGAGGTGAATCTCACTTTTCTTTAATTTTTGTTGAAGGTTGAGAACAACGAACGATCTTGATGATTTTGGATCCGAACTAGTAGAACACACATGGGTGATGGATCGAGCGAAGTTAACTAAAAAGATTTAACTTTAGTGCTTTTGGACGAGTCGGCTTGTAATCGAAACATATTTTCGTTACAGGTTGAATTTATCAAAAAAAAACTCTATCTTAATGTTTGAACAAAATCTGCTTTTAACTATCATGGTTCACCATGTTAAGATCGATCTAAGAACAACAAAAACAAAAAGAAGACACAAAAGCTTGTGTATATCCGATGTTTCCCTTCTCTCTTAATACAAAAAGAAAAAAGAGTTAAACTCACTAGGTTGGATGACTCTTCAGAAAACCACTAGATATATGTGATTAATAGGGTCTTTACAGTCCCCAAGAAAAACTATATTCCTAACTTGAATTATCGGGTGTTCACCTCCTCACTTAATACAAAAAAAAAAGAATTATCGGGTGTTCACCTCCTCACTTAATACAAAAAAAAAGAGTTATACTCACTGGGCTGGGTGACTCTGTAGAAACATATATGTGATGAATACGGTCTTTATAATGAAAATATTACACCCAGAGGCACTTTTGAGTTTTTTATTTCACTCAGAGGCACTTAATGCTCCTAAGACACTTTCCTTAACCGCCGACTTGTTTCCTAGTTAGGTATCAATATTTAATCCCTTTTAGTTACAATTTTTACTTGGCATGAGAGTAGTATCTTTCGTTTAAGCTGAAGAAATATACCCACCACACATCTTGATTCCTTTTCTATGGTCCAGACTTTATTTTAACTTTTTGACAAGACATATAACTTTCCTCATTTTTGACCTTACGATCTTTGTACTGTTTGTTACCATCTACGGTCCACGTTTTAGTCACATAATCTTATCACTTTTAACTTTCTTTTTTCAACAAAACACACTGACGGTGAAAACTCATCTCCCTCCGATTACCGCTGCTAAAAACACAGGTTAGTGTTAATTGTTATCCTATCCACCACCACTTTGATTTAACCTTTTCGTATCATGTGTGTGCAGACTCTTCATGATCAGCAATTGTATGGTTGTCCCCGGAGAGTGGACTTTTATAAATTCTGTTTGGAATTTTGCAGCCGACCATGAAAAGATGTCACGAGTTGTAGCCGTGCGTCTCGGAATGCCTCTCCTTGAACTTCAAGATAATGTCCTCAAGGAGTACTTCACGTTCACCGACCATCCCCCGCCAGCTGTCTTGAGTTATTGGCCTCCTAACACTACAAAGCTTGCCACCGGACTTACAACCCCACCGGTGATAATGTCAAACGATGGTGCTGTTTCATACTTCTTTCAGCACCTAGCTATCAACCCAACCATGAACCTGTTTGTATCATTTGGCCAAAAGGAGGTCAAACCCCAAGTCAGTGACAACCCCCTTCGATTCACTACCCCTAATCAACCTATAAACCCGTCTTTCAAATGTTTTCGTCCCCCTTCCACCGCTTCCTCCAAACCTAGCTTTTCCCTCTTTGATGATGAAGAGCTCTTAGATGACATTCCTATTGTCTCTCCTAATGAGTCCAGACCTGAACTCTGTTCAGGTTCAAAGTCGGCTCTCCACCAGGCGCCACCCAAACGAGTCTGCATTGAGGACGAGACTCTCTCATGTGGAGACGAAATGCTTGAAGAACTCTTCAAAGAGGATCCTGACAATATACCTGATGATTGGCTACTTGAGGCTGAAGAGGACACTTTATCAGAGAGTTCTCAACCTCCTGAAACTGCTGTACCGGAACGTGGTTACGACCATGATTTTTGGGACCCTTTGCTTGATGACACACTTGCTGGTTCAGATGCCGCTGAGAGATTGGCTGGGATTAATGTCCCCAAGACTGCACCTGAAGCCTACCAGTGCAGCAACGGAGGTGCATTCGACCATACAGTCCGTTTAAACGGCCAAGATGATACAGATTAGAAGAAAGATCTTGATTTCATCGGTGTACATCAGCGGGATTGTACGCGTGTACAACGTGGTACTTCGTCCACCAACCCAGGCAAAGAGGCCCCCTGGACACCTGTCTCTTCTGTACGCGCTTCCTCTACGTACACACGTACTCCGTCTCCACTTCGTACTCCTACCAATCCACCTGCTCCTGCTACCCCTCAACCACCTGAGACTAGACCTCTCTGTGAGATCAGCGACGAGGAGTTTGACATCCCCCCGCTCTTTGATGATATAGCTTACGAGGCTGACGATGTTCCAGATCTCAACTTCAATGATACGGACGGGGAACCTACGGTTGGAAAACTGTACGCAAACAAAAAAGACTGCCAAATTGCCTTAGCTATATATGCCATCAAGAAGCGCTTCCACTTCAGACAAACCCGCACGAAAAGGGACTCCTTCGTTCTTAGTTGCCATGACACACACTGCGACTGGCGCATACTAGCCAAAGAGCTCACCACATGTGGCTATTACACAATAAAGAAGGCACAGCTAAACCACACTTGCCCTTTGGACCTTCGTGATCAATACAAGTCAAAGGCCACCTCAAAAGTCATTGCTCATGTTTACCGTTCTCGGTATGGTGAACCAAACCACGGTCCTAAAGCTGCGCAGCTACAACAGCTTGTCTTGGAGGATTTGAGGGTTTCTGCTTCTTACATGAAATGCCACAGAGCTAAAGAGCATGCGATTGATGATGTTGTTGGCAACGCAGAGGATTCATATCTGAACCTTGCTTCTTACTTCCACAGGCTAAAAGAAACCAACCCTCTCACTGTCACCGCCATTGAGACAGAATTAGATGAATATGGTCACACCCGATTCCTCTATGGTTTCCTCTCATTTGGTGCTTCCATAACGGGCTTTCGCCGTCTTCGTCCTATTCTCGTCATTGATGGGGCACATCTCTCTGGCAAATATAAAGGCGTCCTCCTTACAGCTAGCGGTCAAGATGGTAATTTCCAGGTTTTCCCCCTTGCATTTGCAATTGTTGATGGTGAAAACGACAGCTCTTGGCTCTGGTTTCTAACAAAAGTAGAAAGGATTATTTCTGATTCCCCCACTGTCACTATCATCTCGGACCGGAACATATCTCTTCTAAAAGCTAAGAAAATCGTCTTCCCAAAGGCTCACCATGGCGCATGCATCGTCCATATAATGAGGAATATAGTATCCCGCTTCAAGAGCAAGGGTTTGGCCAAACTCGTTTGTGCAGCTGCTTTCTCCTTCAAACGAAAAGATTTCGATCTCAACTTCAACAAGATCAGGCAATCCAATGCTGCTTGTGCAAAATATCTTGAAGACATTGGCACTTCAAAATGGTCGAGGACCTACTTTCAAGGTGATCGTTACAACCTACTTACAAGCAACGTTGCGGAACAGCTCAACAATGCGTTGAACAAGGGAAGGGCGTCCCCGGTTACTGAGCTCTTCATGTTCATTCAGCGAATGTTGACACGTTGGTTCTCTGCACGTAAAACCAAATCTGCAAAACACAGGGGTGCAGTTACACCTGAAGTTGTTGTTGTTATGGATACCCACATGAAACTTACTATAGGTAGTTCCATCTCAAATATAAAGGAGTGGACTTATCAAGTTAAGGGGGTATTTGGGTATCCTTACACAGTCGCCTTAGACACCAAGATTTGCTCATGCTTCGTTTTTCAGAAACTAAAAATCCCCTGCGGGCATGCCTTGCTTGTTGCTGATTCTTTACGTCTCCCACATGTCCAGCTTGTTGGTGATTGCTACAAAACACAGACATGGCGCGACACCTACGCTGGTGTTATATACCCGGAGGCATCGGATGGCGAGATCCCTATTCCTCCAGCTATTTCCAAGCTCAACATCTACCCTCCTTATACACGCCGCCCTTCTGGACGCCCCAAAGAACAACGCTACCCTTCAACTGGGGAAATCCAGGTAAATTTAACAACCATTTTATTTACTACTCCTTGTACAACAATCTTCACTTCAATTACCAATCAAAACATATACTTACATCTTACAGGGTACCAAGAAAACTAAACTAAACAAATGTGGACGTTGTGGGCTCTCCGGTCACAACCGAACCAATTGTGTTGTACCGATCTGACGTGTGGTGAATGCTATATCCACATGCATTCTCTTTTGGATAGCGCCTTCACCCTATGACAACCTTTTTTGGGAAATAGCATAACTCTTTTGTGCATGTCTAAACTATTAACATGTATTAGCTTTGTGAGTGACGCTGTGTATTTTTTGGAATTTGGAAAACTTCTGCTTCTGAATTAAACCTCACCATCAAGTTGACAAAACTGTACACATGTACGCAACTGGCATTGTACACTGTGCACCATCATCATACACATATACGCTAATCCTCTTGTACAAAAACAAACCTTCCCTCGGCACTATTTAACCAAAACTAAGAAACTAAAAGGCTTCGACAAGCCCATCTATTGTTAACAAAAATGGCACATTAATCTTCAACTAAAACCTTAAATATATAGGGTTTCCACCTAAAATCCCAACTTCTAGTATCGCAGCCTCCACCTACCTTCACATCTCCTAGAAAAAGATCTCTCACAATAGACCAAGAATGAGCGCAATTCCTACCCACTGTTGGTGTGGTCATAAAGTGGACATCTTCCTCTCCAGAACCCCACGAAACCCCGGTAGAAGGTTCTACCGTTGCATCATAGCCATACATGTGTGTAAATTCTTCCTAATTGTTCCTTCGACTTTACATTAATCTACTCGCTATCTAGATTTCTTTTACGACTGTTACATGTAGAGACCCGGTGAAAGCCACCTTTTCAAGTGGGTCGACGAATCTATACTAGCAGACATACACAGGGTCGACTCTACTCAGCAAGAATTTATAACTCAGGTACAAGATCTACGTCAGACACTAGAACAACACTTGACTGTTCAGGAAGAGGGACATACAGGAAAAGAAGAAGTCTTTCAATATTATGATCTACTATGGTTCAATGGACGTCCTACAACAAAAAACACGAACTACCCTTCCATATAATTCCTTCACTTGTCACAGGGAATCCAACATTTTTGTAAAATTGTCTAGTTTATATCTCCACTACTATCCCACTACCTTATCTAACCTTGTACTAAATCTCCATGTTGTTACTTGACTTTGTCTATGTCTTCAAAAAAATCATTTTCTTAAAATTGTACGCATCTCCTATTGTACGGGTGTACACATCTCGCCTACCACATCATCAATCGTATGTACACATTGACAACGACTGTACATGTCTACGCTAATCCTCTAGTACACTCTACCACTTTGAAAATCGTCCTCACCCGTATTACATACTCTATAAATATTACATACTCTACTATGGTTCTATGGACGTCCTACAACAAAAAACACAACATCGTCCTCAGTTGTCACAGAGAATCCCACATTTTGTAAAATGGTCTATTGTATATCTTCACTACTATCCCACTACCTTATCTAACCTTGTACTAAATCTCCCTGTTCAGACTTGAGTTTGTCTATGTCTTCAAAAAAAAAAATTCTCTAAATTGTACGCATTTCCTATTGTACGGGTGTACACATGGACAGCGACTGTACATGTCTACGCTAATCCTCTACTACACTCTCCCACTTTGAAAATCGTCCTCAGTTGTACACAACATACCTTTTACAACCTAAGCCATTGTACACTCGTACATGTAAATATTAAATACTCTGATCAGATAATTGGGTGCCTCTAACCATAGGTCCACTTCGTACACCTACGGGATTATGTCTACAATTCCGCAACGATGTACACTTACTCCTAACCGTACACAAAGCTTCATGTGTTGACAAATTGTCCAAAAAATTTGTAAAATTACTACCAAACCAACAGAAATCCACCAAAATAAAAACTTCATTCCATAAACGTCAATAAACAAAAAATCATTCATCTTACACTACTAGCCGAAAGAACAACATCCAAAATAAACGTCAATCAAAATACAAAAAAGGTCCACATGCCTTCACCAAGTTTCTTCCGTCATCACACCTTAAGTTACCATTCATCTTACATACCAAAAAAAACAAACAAGCCTTCACTCACTTACTTCGGTCATCAACCTAAATACAATGGAACCACCCATCTCCTGTAAATTTCCATCGCGTAATGGTTACGGAATATGTCAACCAACTCATCTGTCAACCCGGCCATCGTTGGTTCTGGATCCCCACTTACATGCATCTCAAGGAATTTTACAGCCACTGGTCCACAGTCACCGTTTCTACGATTCTCATAAACACCATCCAACCTTTCCACAGTAAAAGGTGACAGGCCAGCCTCCCCTTCAACCGCTGAAGGACAAACCTTACGAAGTATATAAGGTAGCATCGTAGCAATAGGCTCCATCAACACATTAACTTTCGCCATAGCCTTCCCTCCCGGGTTTGGATCCATCACCAAAATTGTCCTGTCAGTCAGCCTAATACACAAACCAACCCAATGAGACCCCTCCCAAATCATGGGTGTGTAAAGGTTGTCCACCTCGTGCCCCCATCTACGACCCTCCATGGTAAGGAACTTCTTAATCTTCTCATCCACCACCACTCGAGTTTTAAACTTTGCAGCTTTGAATGCTTTGCTTTTCCCTTGCACGTGGGCGGTGAACCAAGGTGCCACAAACATAGATCTCTGACTAAGAGCCTCCTCCCCATGCCAAAAGTCAATGTAATCCATCAGAACAGCAATGTGCTACAAAAAAAAAAATTAAATTAGGACATTTAAGCCTCCCATGTACACCAAAATCTACGTACAACAACAAAAACTTACCGTGCTAGACACCCATTTCTGGGGGGTGCCAAGATCAAGAAAAAACTTGTTTGTAAGATCATATCCCCTAGCATTCAGATGCAACCTACAATGAAGTTTATTTTAAAAAGACATTATATCCATCCTACACCAAAGAAAATAAATTACTAACTATCAAAAACTCACACTTCAGGGTTCGCCTTCAATACCCTCTCAAAGAAAGGGTAGCCGCTGTCCTTCAACATAGGCACTACCTCAGGAACGGCTATCTGATCCTTTGCCAACAAGACGGCCACCAGTTGCTCCTCTTCCTCAACTGGTTTATGGACTTCAGTACGCGGTGTTGACGAGTCACTCACATCTTCATAAACAACTCGCTCTGGAGAATTAACCTCACCACCACCATCTTCAGCATCCTCTGCAAAATCCTCATCACCTCCCTCCTATTTCTAAAAGAGTAAACACATTAAAAATAGTCATTTATTCTACCAAGGTGTACATAACACTACATAACATAAATAACTTCGTTAGTAACAAACTATCATATTTCTCAAAACAAAATAACCAATCAAAATTATGTACACTACCAACGTGTACACTAAACCTACAATAGCGGTGTACTTTTAAGTCCTACACAGTCAGAGAAAAATAATGTACAAGTTTATTACGACATCTATTCCTAAATTAAAACTAATCGTTCAAGTCAGTCGTACAACTAAATAGTGTACACGGTTAATACCCATCTTACAATATACACTTACATTATCACTTACATCACCAATTTTGGCCGACACGGCCGTAACACTCTCACCATTACCACACATTGCCTCATTCAACTCCTCTGAACCTGCTCCTGAAAACTCAACACCTTCTCCAATCACAGAAGAATCAACCTCCTCAGCAGTTTGTTCCGCGGTTAGAACCTACCAAACGAAAACAGCCAAACATTTGCAACTTAACAATACTCTAGAACCAGCAAGTGTGATAACCTCTCCTAAGCACACAAAAAATACCTCACTACCCTTGACCGGTGGTTCACAGCCTTCTCTAATCGCTGGAGCTTCAACCTCCTCAACAGTTTTTTCCAAACACAAACCTAACTTAAATAACCAACCTCATGTACACACGTACACAGACGCTACATGTACACCATGCGAATGTACATCGTCAACATTACCTCATTCTCACACTTCAAAGGACCTATCATTTCATCACCATCCCCTACTAGTGACTCCTACATACCCAAAAAATTCTATGTTACATCGCCGCTGCCAATATACCTTTTCAAGTGTAGAACCTTACCTCAACAGCCTTCAAAGGTGGTTCAACATCTACTACGCACCTCTCCTCCAATGTATCACCAGTTTCCGGGTCCTTATCCGGTCCCTTAAATAAAAAACACCAAAACAAATGGTTAACCAAAACGACAATCATTAACTTAAGTTATTTTCGTATTACCTTTACAGTTAACACCTTCCCATCTTCCAACCCATCCACCACAGGCTCAGAAACAACAGCTCTCACCAACACGCCAAGCTCACCCAACTCCTGCATTACAGTTGGGTCATCAACCAAACAAACACAGAGAAAAATTTTTTTTACTTACAGTTGAATTGAGGCCAAGACCATCTCCAATGTTCTCCCCCTGAGCCTCCGCATCACTAACACCACGTTTCATCATAACAAGCAAACTAGCTCCATCCTCTCCCCGCTTCTCCTCTACACTACCTGACGGAGTTCCTTCAACACTCTCAGGAAGTTCATGCCTAACATCACTACCACCTACGGCACTTCTACGAGAACGTCTAACCCTAGTTCCATCCCTAACGCTTAACCAGCTCCTCAATAGTCACTTCTCGATTTTCACCTATCAACTTACCCCAATAATCATAGTTCTCCTCATTCGATGGCTCTTGATAGTCGATACTATAACCGTCCTCAAACTCACCGCAAGGCAAACCCGTAACCTCCCCAAACTCCACTAAAGAGAAACGAAACGGATTCCCACCAAAAACAGGCCACAATTCATACTTTTTCTTGGTAACAACCTGTCGTGTCAACATCCCGTGGCCTACCCTACCCATCAGAAGACGTCGCACGGGTATGGTGAAAAGTTTGCCGAAACAAGACCTCTTAAGCCGTTCCCACTCAGCAGACCCTTGTAGAGCATCTCTGACAGCCAAAAGGTGATCGACGGTTGAGTATAGGTTAATCCTCTCGCTTGGAAAACGGTCAGTCGCAAAGAGACGTTCCGGTAAACGACCGGTCAGACATTCAACCTCCGGCTCCTCTGTTAAACGACAAGACCAACAATAAAACGCTTAAAAAAGGGAACTAGAAAGCAAACAAAAAAAAACATGTCGGAGATGCAGAAACGAACCGCCGACGATCTCTTTCCCACGACGGCTACGGCGGAGTGACATCGTAACACTCTCTCTCTCGTATATAAACCCAACGACGAAACTCAGCAATCAAAAGGGAATTCGCTTCTGTGAGAAGCGTAGGATGGACAAGATCTGATTAGTTTCTCGTTTGTGACGAAAATGGTGATTTAGAGAACGATTATCAATTCCATTGAATATTCACCTAAAATCCACCAATGAAAAACAGGATAAATAAAGGATTTTCTTTTCTTTTATAAATAAATCGGTTTAAATTCGAAATTCAAAAAGAAACTAGAAGTCAAGCCAATAGTTAGCTTCCTCGTTACATAAAACCACCGCTTTAGTGATTCACCGACAAAATGTGCCCAAGTAGCAAGAAGTGTCTTGCAGTGTAATAAAAAACACGAAAGTGTCTCTCAGTGAAAATAACTCCTTTATAATCAGCTTCATTGTCTCAGATCGTATATTTTCTCTCACACCACCCCACTCTCTTTTCTGTTACGAGTTAATACTCTCATAGAAGATTCTTGAACAGACTCATCACCCCGAAAAAAAGAATCCCTTATATATTATTTGCGAAGTGATTTTACCACATGTCCTTCTACAATTAGTTTTACAAAAAAACATGTGACATAGCTACTACAATTGATGATATGGCTTCTTAAAAAATATAACATGGATAATTACATTTAATGTTAATTTATATTCTTGTTAAACTATTTAAATATAGTAATAACTTATACTACATCATCTTTAAAATAAATATATTCAAATATAACATTAGAAATTCGAAATAGTATTATATTTTCTTTTTTATATTGTACAATTTGTATTACTAAATTTTTCAAAAATTGATAGAATTT